TCAGAGTCGAGACCAGGTCCCAGCCTTCTCCTCCCAGCGTAAATCTGTGTGACCTGAGACAACTCCACACGCTCTTTAGGCTTCAGGTCTCTCTCTTGGTAGAAGCTCTGCTGGCCCCAGTCTCTCTGACCAGCCTGGCTAATATGGTGAAAACTGGTCTCTACTAAAACACACAAAAAATTGGCTGGGTATGGTGGTACCTGGTACGTGCCTGTAATTCTAGCTACTCAGGAGGCAGAGACAGGAGAATTGCTTGAACCCAGGAGGCAGAGGTTGCAGTTAGTCTAGATCACGCCACTGCACTCTAACCTGGGTGACAGAGTGAGACTGTGTCCCTCCCTTCCCTTCTCATGGTTATGGGCTTGTTTCTCACTCAGAAGAAGGCATGAAGGGGACCTCTCCTTCTTCCTGACTTCGAGCCCCTGCTTTGTCTCCCGGCACTCAAGGCCCCCATGCTTCCTCTAACCACTTTTGGTCCCAGAGGCCTTTCCTCACCGTGCCAAGGTCCCGCAGTGTTCAGAGGCCAGCACAGTGCAGGCCACAAACATGGGAAGTCGGCAGCGATGAGCCGGCCATGGCTCTGCTCTCTTCTCAGCAAGCCTGGAATCTGGGTTTGCATGGTGGGAAACTTTACTGGGTCTCCTCCGTGCCCCTGCAAATCCTAGACATCCTCTCCCTGCAGATCTCCATATGCAATGGCAGAGATGGCTCATCCCAGCCAAACTGCAGCCATAAAGGTATGAGATCAGTTAAGACCCAAGGGGTGGCAGAAGGAAACAGGAGGGAGGGGGTTGGGCAGCTGCCGGGGTGGCAGGGTCGGTAGGAATGCTGGCGTTCTTTTTTTTTTTTTTCTTTTTTATAGATGGAGTCTTACTCTGTCTGGAGTGCAGGGATGAGATCTTGGCTCACTGCCACCTCTACCTCCTGGGTTCAAGTGATTCTCTTGCTTCAGCCTCCTGAGTAGCTGGGATTACAGGCACCCACCATGTTCAGCTAATTTTTGTATTTTTAGTAGAGATGGAGTTTCATCATGTTGCCCAGGCTGGTCTTGAACTCCTGACCTCAGGAGATCCACCTGCCTTGGACTCCCAAAGTGCTGAGATTACAGGCATGAGTCACTGCACCCAGCCAGAATGCTGGCATTCTTAATCCCAAGACCTTCTCTCCCTCAGGGTGAGGCTCCTGACTCAGTTTCCCCTGACAAAGCCAGAAGTGGAAGTAGAAAGTTTTGAGACACGTGTTTGTGTCCTAGATAGATTTCCACAGTGTCTCATTCTTTACTCCCCCTAAAATGAACACCCTCAATGGTGGAGGTGGGGAAGAAGGGGGAGCAGGGTGGTAACCAGGGCAACCCTCCTTTCTCTCCCTTACCCTGAGTGAATGCCACTGAAGAGCTCTCCAGGGCCAGCGAATCACCCACATAATTATCCCGGGCGGTAATGAGCTTGGAGAGGTGGTGGGGGCGCTTCGGGGCAGAGGGGCGCTCAGGCCAAGGTATTGTTGAGGCCTGAGGCTGGGGAACAGAGGGATCTCCCCTGTGGTGGGAGGCGGGCCAGGACAGGATGTGGGTGCTGGGCAGGTGTGGGTCTCAGCTGTCAGCCTGGCATCCCAGGTCTGCTTTTCCTGCAGCGACACTGGAAGTCTGACTTGGGGACTCGGGGAGGGGAGGGAGGGCAGTCTGTGTGGCAGTTTTTCCTGGCTTAGAGTCTGATTTCTCTCAAGAATCTGACTGGAAGGCCAGTTTGTCTTTTATTGTCTGGTAGAGAGAGTGTGTGTGTGTGTGTGTGTGAGATGTGTGTGGTGTGTTGGTGTGTGGGGTGTGTATATGGTGTGCGTGGTGTTTGTGTGGTGTGTGGTATTTGTGTGTGTGTGTGTGTGATGTTTGTGGTGTGTGTGGTGTTTGTGGTGTGTGGTATTTGTGTATGTGTGTCATGTTTGTGTGTGGTGTGTGTGATGTGTGTGGTGTGTTTGTGTGGGGTGTGTGTGGTGTGTGTGGTGTGCGTGGTGTTTGTGTGTGTGTGGTGTGAGTGTGGTGTGTGTGGTGTTTGTGTGTGGGGGGTGTGTGGTATTTGTGTGTGTGTGTCATGTTTGTGTGTGGTGTGTGTGATGTGTGTGGTGTATGGGGTATGTGTGGTGTGTGTGTGGTGTGCATGGTGTTTGTGTGTGTGAGGTGTGTGTGGTGTGTCTGTGGTGTTTGTGTGGTATTTGTGTGTGTGTCATGTTTGTGTGTGGTATTTGTGTGTGTGGGATGTGTGTATGGTGTTGTGTGTGTGGTTTGTGGTATTTGTATGCATGTGTGTGTCATGTTTGTGTGTGGTGTGTGTGGCATTTGTGTGGGGGTGTGTATGGTGTTTGGTGTGTGGTATTTGTGTGTGTGTGTCATGTCTGTGTGTGGTGTGTTTGGTATTTGTGTGTGTGGGATGTGTGTATGGTGTTAGTGGTGTGTGGTATTTGTGTGTGTGTGTCATGTTTGTGGTGTGTGTGGGATGTGTATATGGTGTTTGTGTGTATGTGGTGTATGGTATTTGTGTGTGTGTGTGTGTGTGTGTGTGTGTGTGTGTGTGGTGTGTGGTGTGTGTGTGTTTCTTACGGGTTTTCTAGTCTGGGGAGAGGTAGTTCAAAACCAGGTACCCAACTTCAGGTTTTTCTCCCTCTTCCAACTTCAGTTCTTTCCCTAGAGGACAGCATGTAGAGGCGGGGTGTGGTGTCAGACACCCCCAATTCCTAGACACAGGAGGGAACTGCTATGCTGGCTTACAGTGGCCAGCTCACCCCACAACTCATTTCTACACAGAGGCTGGAGAGAGTGTGAGTGTGTGTAGAGAGAGATAGACAGACACACACAGATGAGAGAGATGGGGAGGGGTTAGGCTGGAGGGGCCTTTGCAGAGAGTGGGGAGGGGGCAATCTCTGAGGATGAAGCTAACTTCTGGGAGTAGAATCCCAGATTACAAGGCAAGCCGGGGAGGGGTCCAATGGCTGGTCTACGTCATCAGTGTCTAGATGCTTCTCTGCCGCGCCTCCTGCCATCCCACTGCAGCTCCAGCACACATTTGCATTTAAATAGAGATTTTTTTTTTTTTAAATGAGAAGGACCCAAGGGAGCCCCCAGACTATTAAGTTTCCTTCTGGGGGCTGTGCGGAGGCTTCTTCATGTGCCCCTCCACTCCAGCCTCCACTCCTCCTCCCCCAACTGTCATATTATTCTGCAGCCATATATTCTGAGGGCCAGATGAGGCCCTGGCTCTGACGATCTGAGGGCACTTGTGGGGACAATGGGGCCAGTGCTCCTGGGAAGACCGAGAGTGTGCAGCCCTCGACCCTCTTTGTCTGCTGCGGACCAGGCACCCACCTTCAACTCCTTTAGTCCTGGGCTGGCGGCTGTTTCGGCTCCAGGCTGCAGGCGATGGTGGCAGAATCCGTGTTATCTCATCACATTGAGCAGTGTGTTAATTAAGAGGCGGGAGACCCTATTTGAGTCTTGGCTCTGCTATCCCAAGGCTGTGCAACCTTGGGCAAGTTACTTAACCTCCCTGAGCCACAACTGTCTCATCTGTGGAATGGGGGTCATGATAGAATTCTCCCCTTGGGGGGGGTGAGAGGTTGAGGGAGATAACGTGGCACGGTGCTTAGCAGAGTGACTGGCGCACCGTATGCCCTTGATAACCAAATTGAGAAGATTGGGTAGAGCGAGATTTCTTTCTTTCTTTCTCTTTTTTTGAAACGGAGTCTCTGTCTCACCCAGACTGGACTACGGTGGCGCAATCTCGGCTCATTGCAACCTCTGCCCTCCTGGTTCAAGCTATTCTCCTGCCTCAGCCTCTGGAATAGCTGGGACTACAGACACTTGCCACCGTGCTCAGCTAATTTTTATTTTTATTTTTAGTAGAGATGGGGTTTCACCATGTTGGCTAGAATGGTCTTGATCTTTTGACCTCATGATCTGCCCGCCTTGGCCTCCCAAAGTGCTGGGATTACAGGTGTGAGCCACCTCACCCGGCTAGAGTAAGATTTCAAGAAAAGCGTCTGATGCTGTAGTGGAAAGAGCAGGATCTGTAGCTGACAGCCTGGGGTTTCTTTTCCTGCAGCCTTAGTTATAAGCCATGAGGCTTTCCCATCTATGGCCTGAACTTTCCTCCTCTGTCAGCTGGAGATTCTGAGTTAGAACTCACCTCGGACTGGGCTCGGTGGCTCATGCCTGTAATCCCAGCACTTTGGGAGGCCGAGGCTGGTGGATCATGAGGCCAGGAGATTGAGACTATCCTGGTCATGGTGAAACCTCATCTCTACTAAAATACAAAAAAAAAAAAAAAATTAGCTGGGCATGGTGGCATGCGCCTGTAGTCCTGGCTACTCAGGAGACTGAGGCAGGGGAATCACTTGAATCCAGGAGATGGAGGCTGCAGTGAGCCGAGATTGTGCCATTGCACTCCAGCCTGGCAAAAGAGCAAGACTGCATCTCTAAAAAAAAAAAAAGAAAGAGAGAGAACTCACCTCAAAGGGTTTTTGTGAGCATCAAATGGTGGTTCAGCCAGGGCTCAGCATCCCTAGCACACAATTGGTGTTCAGGAAATGTTAGTTTTTCTCTCCTTCTTCTTCCACAGGGAGAGAGGGACAGAAAAATGTCCCAGCGGCTTGGAGAATGTTTGAGAGGACTGGGGAAAGCTCAATGGGAGAGGGTATGGGTTGGTCCTAGGACCACCAGTCTGGATGGGTGAAGACACGACATTCTGTATGTTGGGGAGGCCATGGGAGATGAAGGTGTCAGTACACCCATGGCTGATGGCCGAGAAGTCTCGGAGGGAAATTGAAGGAGAAAAGGTCAGCTCAGGTGGTCCCCCCACCTGCCTCTCCCCTCCAGCTCCTCATCACTGATTCTGGGAGAAGGAAATGAGACGTGACAGGTCCCTGGCCACCTGGGAGAGGCTGAGAATGGAGACAGGATGGGCATGGGAGGTGTGTGTGTGTGTGTGGGGCGGGGGGGGGGGGGGTAGGGAAGAAAGAAGAGAGACCTGTTATTCCTGATTCACCTGCCCCACCACCCCCTGCCCTGCAGCCCAGATTAGTCCTGGCATGTCAACTAGCAGAGTGACAGTGACAAGTGCTTTCTATGGTTTAATTTCTCTCTCCCTCCTCTTTCACATCTTTCTCTTCTTTCCCTTTCTCTTTCTTCTCTCCCTCTTTTTTCTCTTCTTCCTTCTCTTCTGTTTTAGTTTCTATTTCCTTTCCTCTTTCTTTTCTGTTCTTTTCTTTTGGGGCAGGATCTTTCTCTGTTGCCTGGGCTGGAGTGTAGTGGCATGATCTTGGCTCACTGTAGCCTTGACCTCCTGGGCTCAAGTGATTCTCCCACATCAGCCTCCTGAGTAGCTGGGACGACAGGTGCATGCCACCATGCCTGGCTAATTTTTAAGTCATAGTATTTTGCTATGTTGCCCAGGATGGTCTTGAGTTTCTGGGCTCAAGCGATCCTCCCACTTTGGAATCCCAAAGTACTGGGATTACAGGTGTGAGCCACCGCACTAGCCCTATTATTTTTATTTTTATTTTATTTTTTTGAGACAGTGTCTTGCTCTGTCATCAGGCTGAAGTGCAGTGGCACAATCTAGGCTCACTGCAACTTCCACCTCCTGGGTTTAAGCAATTCTTCTGCCTTAGCCTCCCGAGTAGCTGGGACCACAGGCGTGTGCCACCATGCCCGGCTAATTTTTGTATTTTTAGTAGAGAGAGGGTTTCACCATGTTGGCCAGGATGGTCTTGATCTCTTGACCTCGCGATCCACCCGCCTTGACCTCCCAAAGTGTGGGGATTATAGGCATGAGCGACTGCGCCCGACTATTTTTTTTTATTTTTAAGGAAATACTGTCTTACAGACAGACTTCAAGAGCCTCTCCCACCTGCTCCAGGGCCTAGCTAGCTCCTATGGCACCTCTGTGAGAATTAGGACAAGGAAACCCCTCTAGAAGGAACTTGCTCTGTGGGTACAGGGTGTGGCTGGTTGATGGTGCTTTCTATGAACTATTAAAGGCATCTTTCCTTCTGTGGGCTAGGCTCATACGAGGACATGAGTTAGCTGTTGGAGCAAAGGCTGGACTTTAGCCCTTGCTTTCCTCCTTGTGCAGTGGGCCACCTGCACACCCATATAGGGCAGTCCTTCACCCCTTTTCCCTCTTCTTCCTCAAACTGAGGCACCATTCCATACTGATGCCATTGTGTATCCCTCACATCCACATGTGTATATTTCCCCACTTTTCTCCCCTCCCTTTTCAGTTCCTTTCCCTTCTTTCTCCTCCTGTTCCCAGCACTCTCGGTCACAAGTCTTATACACCAGGCTCTTTGCATGCCTTTGTATGTCTTTGTATAATAGGCTTAGAATGTGTGTGCATTATTATTGCTACATGGGATGGGTGTTCTCATGGCATTCTTTCAGGGATTGGCACATAATAGATGCTCAAGATTGTGTGACTGGGTTGTATGTCTATTTGCATCTCTCTGTGCATCTTGGCACTCTGGCACTCCCCAGCCATTCCCTTCCCAGAGCTTAGAAGGGAGAGGGAATTAGTAGGGAAGTCCACAGGGCTGAGGGCTTGTCTCCTCAGTCTCTGCTGGTCTCTGCTCAGCCCATGGTTCTTTCACCATGATACTCAGTCTTCCGTGGAGCCCTGAAAAGGGCAAATCGAGGGCCACTCTTGCCCTGCCCTGCCCCATGGGCCTGGAGGTGGGGCCCCCTCTGCTTCCCTCTCCAGGCCTCCTAAGGCCTCCAAGCCAGAGCTGGTAGGGGAGCGGTGAGGGGGGGTGCAGTGGGAGGAGGAGAGGGAGCCTGAGGAAGCTGGGCAGGGGCTGGCGGCCCCTGGGACCCCTTTCTACAAGGACAGAGGCGGCACCAGCTGCTCCACAGAAGAAATATTCCCCAAAGTCAGAGTGGTCGCCTCGTATTTTAAGTGGCCCTTATTTATCACCGTCCTCCTGGGCTCCCTATCGCTGCAAATGATGATAAAAGACAGTGGTGAGGGGGGTGCGGGGGCTGCTCCCAGCTGGCCCTGCCGCACCAGGGGAGGCGCAGGCACACAGCAACACACGGGTACAGCAACACGTATGCAAACGCATCAACACACATGCACAATGACATACACACACAGACGCAGACACAGACATGCAGTACATCCGTGCCAACAGCCACACACACACGCGCACACACGCACACACACAGTGACATGCACACACAGACGCAGACACAGACATGCAGTACGTCGGTGCTAACAGCCACACACACATACACAGTGACATGCACACACAGACACACAGACATGCAGTATGTCCGTGTCAACAGCCACACACACACACACACAGAGTGACATGCACACACAGACACAGACATGCATTACGTCCGTGCCAACAGCCACACACACACACACACACACAGAGTGACATGCACACACAGACTCAGCTGCAACAGTGACATGCCCACAAATGCTAAACATATTTGATGCCAGGTGACACTCACAACTGTGAACATACACAGAGCCTGATACAGGTGCAGGGACACATTCACTTGCACACACATATACCAATATGCATGTATAGTGATAGACACAGACACATAGCACACATGTGACAAACATGTCACTCACCAAAACAAGCATGCACTCACCCCAGGCACTCACCCCAGGCACTCACACCTCAGTGTGCAATACCCACTCCTCGAGCCAACTGTGCTGATGTATCCACCATTTTCAGTGTGACTCTACGTGTGTCTGCCTCGGATGACCTCTGCATAGAGGCCACCGTCTCCATGTGGCATCCAGCTCATAAGTGTGTACTTTACTCCATCCAAACCTAGCCAAACACATGGATGTGCAAATGCATCCATAGTCCAACCAAAAACACAGAACATCAAACTTTACCTCTCACCATCCATGGAAATTAACTCCAAATAGATCAGACCCAAATGCCAGATGTAAAACAATACAACTTCTTAAAGAAAATACGGGGAAGATTTTTGGGATCTTGAGGTAGGCAGAGATTTTTTGGGTAGAACATAGTCATAGGCTGGAATTGCATATCATTGAGCACAAGCTCTGAAATCAGAAACCCTCTCTTTGATTCCTGTCTTACTATATAACTGGCTGCACTGACCTTGGGTAACTGACTTGCTTTCTCTGAGCTCATGTGCCTTCTTGTACAATGAAGGTATAATATTGCCTACCTCTCTGGATGCCTGTAAAGTCCAGAGAACTAATGCATGTGAAATAGTTTTTATTTTTTATTTTTATTGTTTTTGAGACAGGTTCTCACTCTGTCACCCAGGCTGGAGTTCAGTGGTGCAATCTCATTGCAACCTCTGCTTCCCAGGCTCAAGCTGTCCTCCCATCTCAGCCTCCTGAGTAGCTGGAACTATAGGCATGTGCCACCATGCTCAGCTAATGTTTTAATTTTTTTTTTGTAGAGATGAGGTCTCATTATATTGCTCATGCTGGGCTCATGTGATCCTTCTGCTTTGGCCTCTCAAAGTGCTGGTATGACAGGTGTGATTAATGGTGACTGGCCTGAAATACCCTTTGAAAGTTGTGATGTACTGTATGAAGTTTGGCTAAGTAGAAAAAAAAGTTTTGTGTATTTTAATTATTCACACACACCTAGGCATACCTCTTAAATAAGCAGTCCATAACCCACGCACCTGCCTGCCTGCTCACTCAGGGGAGCTGGGGTTGGGGTGTAACACTGACCTTCCCCTTGTCCAGGGAAGTCTCCCTCCGCCCTAATCCCATACCCTTTCCACACCCAGTTGCCAATCAGCCTTACTCCCCAGCCTCAGCCCGTTAGTATGGCTCCCTGGGGGAATCGATTTTTTAAAGGTTATTAGCAGATTATTGGTTCTTTATTAACCTCAGGCCCAAATCTCCAATCTCCCAATGAAGCTATTGTCGCCTAATACTATGTACTCGATAATCTTGGCATGAAGGTGGTGGAGGGCCTGGCGGGGTGGGGGGCAGCTGGGAGGAGGGAAGGGTTAACGGCACCACCCCAGCCTCCACCCTTTCAGTCCTCAAATAGCTGAACTACTGTATGTTGTAGTTTTCAACTGCAAATCATCTTTAATAGCAGACATCACGGGATGGCTCATTACATTAAGCTATTTTTCATGCTATCTCCTGTAATATCCTCTAATCCAATGCGTTTCAAATCACCTCGGGCTAAAATAAGAGACATAGCGATGTAATAGCCTAGTGTATTAGTGGGTTAATTGCCCTGTTGTACTCTTTCTAGTAGCTATCTCTGGAATGACTTCTATATTAATTGTAAATTGCTTAATACATTTAACTCCTTGCCACCGCCCTATCCCCTAACGAAGGCGGCCACTACCCAGTTGCTTGTGTGTGTGTATGTGTTTTGTGGGCACTCCTTTCCAACTCTGGTTCCCCTCTGTCTCCTTGGCCCATGCTGGAGGAGCAGGTTTGACATACACTTCTCTGTCTAATAAGGGGAAGGGAATGAGACATGCATTTATCGAACACTTATTATATGCCAGGCCCTGGGCTAGGTCTTTTCACCAAATGCGGTCTCACTGGCACCTCAAAGACCCTGAGTAGTGGCAGCATTCAACCCAGAGGTCATGCAACTTGTTCAAGGTCACAGAGCGATGATTTGATGAAGCTGTGGTTACACCCAGACCCGAGGGCTCCTAGAACCACAGTAGTTGAGCGTGGGTCAGGACCTGGGGTTTTGGACATTAGGTCAGATGTGGTCAGCAGGGTCCTGGGGCAGCTCCTGGTCTGCAGGGAAGAGACACAGCCCTTGGCCTGTGGGAGTCCCCAGTCTGTTGGGAGAGACACAAGCCCTGCATGAGGGGAGCTCCCAGTCTGATGAGGGAGCTCCAGCCTCTAGCCTGGGGAGCCCCTAGTTTGATGGGAAGAGAGATCCTCTGCCAAGGGTAAGCTCAGCAAATGGGGAACACAGCTCCTGTTCGGGGAGCACTCACCCTGACAGGAGGGATCCAACCTTTGCTTTAGAGAGTCTCTGGTCTGATGAGGAAAACATCACTTCTGTCCTGGAGGAACCCTCAGTCAGATGGAGGAGACACCGATCCACACAGAGAAAATGGAAATGAGGTGCAAATGCATGAGAGGCAGGCAGAGTGAATGCACATGGCAGACAGTGAGCTCGGAGGATGAGGCCAGAATCGGCCCCACAGGCCGCAGGGCCAGACTGGGGGTCCTGCCTTGTTGGTTGCCTCTCTCCCTCCCTAGGTGTGTGGTCTCTGCGCTTCCCCGTGGCTGCCCCTCTCCCAGCCTGCAGAGGGAAGCCTAAGCCAGGGCCAGGGCAGTGATAGAGACCTCCTCCTCTTGGTGCTGATAGCCCCCAGCTGGCTCCCCCTTTTCCACAGAAGCCTCCAGTGGCCTGTGAAACTGGAGCCTGGGGCCTCTCCTACAGGCTCCAGTTTGCGTCAGGTGTCCATACTCTGGACAGGTGACAAGTGGGGGATAGGAAGGAGAAACATCAGGGAGAGAGAAAGAGCTGAAGGATGAGTATAGGGCCTGATGAAAGGGTGTCAAAATCACAGGTCACAGGCATGGGCGAGTGTTTACCTTCTACGTAGTAGTACTTTACACACACACACTTATGCACACACGTGCATACACAGATGCACGTACACACGTGTGAACACACTAGTGCACACACAGGCATACTGTACACGCACGCACGTGCACACAAGTACACGCTCATGCACACATGCATGTGTGTATACACACAGGTACGCATGCACATGCACGCACATGCACGCACACACACAAGCACCCACACAACGCACTCATGTATACACACACGCACACGCAGGCACACACGTACACGCATGCGCACATATCCGCATGCACATACAGGTAAACACACACGCACAAGCGCGCGCACACACGATGCATTCTGCGTGCGTCATACGGGAGTCACAGGATTGGAAACTCCTGAACTGCTTTCTCAGGGCGTCTAGCTGGGCAGAGGGACCCAAGTTCAAAGTTGCCTCACGGAGCCTTCTTCCTTCAGGGGCGGTCCTGACTGACCTCAGTCTGGAACAGAAGCGGGCCTTAGAGGCTCTCGATGAGTTTGCGCCCGGGTCTGTGGCCTCCTTTCTCCCTGAGCTAAGTCCTTGGGCCAAAAAACAAGAAAGAAGGAAAGAGGAAGGGAGGGAAGGGACGTACCGGCGGAGGGCGCAGCGGGCGGCTTGCGGAGCCGTCCTGGCTCGGGGTGGGGGCTCGGCCAGAGTCCCCGCGGCGGTTCTGCGGCTGCCGGCTCGGGAGCAACCTTGAGCGCGGCCACGGAGACAGTGATTTAGGTGCTGGCACCGGAGCGTGAAGGTAAATGGCCACATTTCACCATCGGGAGGTGAGCTGGCGGCGGCCGCCCTGGCCCTTCCCCCAAGGCCCTGCGTTGGTGGGGGCGGGAGTTTTGCTGCCCCTCTCAGACCGGACGGCTCTGAGGCCCGCCTGAGAGGGCAGCGCCCCCCCCCGTCCCCCCCGCCTCTTCCCAGAGGGAAGCTGAGAAGCAAGTGCTTAAAGCCGTTGGCACTTGAGGGCACCACCTTCTCTCAGGAGTGGGTGGGCAGTGGCACCTCCCGGATGCTAGTCCAGGCTCAGGGAGCTCCCCCAGGTCACCTCCTCTACTCATCATGGGGGTCCAGCGAGGGGGGGAGGAGCCTGCCCCATCCCCACTGTGCAGATTAGGAGCTGAGGCCCAGGAGCTCAAGGGACTGCGGAAGGCCACAGGGCTGGAAGGGATGGAGAAGGCTGGGGACCCAGGCCAGAGCTTCCTATGCTCTCTTCCGTCTAAGAGGTTTGAAGTGGGGTGAGATGGGGGTGCTTGTGGGTATGAAATGTTGGCATCTGGCAGACCTCACTACTTTTGTGTGTGTAAGTCCTGATTATAAAAATAATACAATGGCCAGGCATGGTAGCTTATGCCTGTAATTCCTGCACTTTGGGAGGCTGAGACAGGAGGATTGCCTGAGCCCAGGAGGTGGAGGCTACAGTGAGCTGTGTGATCATGCCACTGCATTCTAGCGTGGGCAATAGAGTGAGGCCCTGTTAAAAAAAAAAAAAAAGTGCATGTTCTTCACATTAAAAAAAATACAGAAATGTGGGTGTAATTTGAGAACCCCTCCTTCTTTGAGACAAAGCTTCCTTCCAGGAGATACTGCCCCTCCCACTAAGTGCTCAGCCCCTTGACCCCTCCCGTTCTAGGTAAAGCAGATGTGAGTAGAATGCTGGGATCAGATGCTGTGTGGCTGATAAAGAGAGGGAAAAAGAAAGAGAGCCATGCTAGGGCACACAAACATTGCTGTGCAGGGGCAGAGCATGGCACGATAGCCCCAGCCCATCATTTTCCAGGCTGCAGCAGGGTGGCAGAGCAAGGCAGGGTAGAGGGGCCTAGGGCACAAGATCCTGGCCAGGGAAGCCTCCAACCAGTGCCAGTCTACACAGAGGCCTGGAGCAGGTGGAAGGGAAATTGTGCCTGGCTCCATTGGGGTATCTGTGGTCACTGTTATTCATAATGGCTGCTTTTTATTAGAAACCTACTATGTGGGTGGTATACCTCTAATCATGCCAGAAGCCCTACAAAGTATGTATTATTGTCCCTATTGTATAGGAACACTGCAGCCAGGCCCCTGGCTGGGATTGGACCCTGGTTCCACTGCCCCTAAAGAGATTCTTCTTTCTGTAGCCACTGCCTCTCTATTTCACTGTCTGTGTCCTGAGGGAGAAAGCGGTCTGCCAAGGCCTGGGGAGACTGCCTGGAGTACGGTGGTGAAGGCGACTGGCCTTTGCCTCCCCAGTGTGGTTTTCCTGGGATCATTCTCCTGAAGAGTGTGGGTGGGACTCTGCTCAGGGAAGTAGGTGGTAGGTGAGGTAAGTGGTGGTCTAAGTTCTCAGCTGGCCTTCTAGTTTCAGGGGCTCTGCCGGCCCCTGGCTCAGCGTTACTCCCAAACATGGGCAGAGAGGAGTCAAAGGCAGATAGAGGAGGGTCACTTTGTGGGCGGTGACCTGAAGGTTCCTGGGTTCTGAGGGTCCCAGAGGACGGTGTATGGGGCGGGGAAGAGGTCATCCTTGTGGTCTAAAGAACCCTTGACTGGGCCAGAGAAACTAAGTAGGGGTGGGAGGCAGGTGTAGAGTCTCCCTTCCCCAGGACAGAGCCCCTGCATGGGAGCCAAACAGGCCACCGGGCCCAAGTGCCTAACAGACTGAGGTGGACAGAAAGCCTGAGTTCCTCACTTCTGATAGCTGACATTTATGGAATACCTACTAAATGCTCCAACTGTACTAAGTCTTCTCTTAGTGCTGACAGCTACTGTATCCAGTAGGAACTCTTATTTTTTAAATTTATTTTATTTTATTTTATTTTTGAGATGGAGTTTCACTCCATCGCCAGGCTGGAGTGCAGTGGCGTGATCTTGGCTCACTGCAACCTCCATCTCCTGGGTTCAAGCAATTCTCCTGCCTTAGCCTCCCGAGTGACTGAGTGCCACCACACCCAGCTAATTTTTGTATTTTCAGTAGAGACAGGGTTTCACCATGTTGGCCAGGATGGTCTCAATCTCTTGACCTCGTGATCTGCCCATCTCAGTCTCCCAAATGCTGGGATTACAGGCATGAGCCACTGTGCCCAGATGTAGGAACTCTTATTAACCCCATTTGACAGATGAGTAAACAGAGGTGCAGACTCTTCCAGGCCTGCTTCTTCCCACCCGGGTCAGGAGGGCACAGTGTTTGGGGAGGGGGCTCCAATCCTTTTAATCTCAGCACAGGGCCTGGAACCTGGAAGTCTTTAGCAGATGGCAGTTCTTGTCATTATTCTTGACTTATAGTGGGTAGAGCTTCAGGCTGGGGCCACCTTGCCTTTCAACCTGTTGTCTCCATGCTTGGCTCTGAGAGCCAAGGGTCCTGTCTCCTTACCTGGGAACCTCAGGGCACACGTCCCTCCCATCTTCTTCCAAATCTGTCTTTCTCCCTCCATCCTGGCCCTTGATCTTGGAAAGATGCCTGTAGGGGCACATGTGTGTATATGAACATGATCGAGGAGTGGGTGACTTCAGAGATGTCTCATTCTGTGATGAAGGCTCCACAGAGAGCAGGGAAGGGTCTCCTAGGAAACCCCTTCCAGGACAGGCTCTGATCCTAGGTCAGGGATCTCTCCACCCACCCTTTCTGAGCTGGGACTGTCACATGAATAGAGGTGGATAGAGATGCAAACCTCTTTTCGCTTCATCTGTCTTCACAATGGTGATGAGACCAGGGGAATATCCTCTTTCTGGGTCCTCAGTGCTCTGCTGCCCCCTTTCTTAGAATCATTGCTTCATCCAGTGCCACACTTGGCAAGAATCTCACATTCCAGCTGTTCTGACCTCATCTTCTGATAGATAAGGAAAGGGAAGCAAGGAGAAGGGGAGTGACTTGCACAAGGTCACACAGTCAGTTGGTGGCTGGCCTACAGTCTCCTGATGACGCTGGGAAAGGCAGCCAGATGAGCATTGCGTAGAGCTCTCATGAGACTGGGGGGCCCTGAGAAGTGAGGGCTCTCTCCTCCCTCCTCTTTCCTGGGGTGATGTCAGCTGAGGCACTGGCCACCCCCTCTCCATCCCCACGCACCAGGCGGAATTGTCTTAATGCAGCAAATTGTTCATACACATGTAAGCAAATATCTTCTCAAATTATCTCTTATCACCAAACAGGCTGCGATGCTCACCGGCTGGAGGGCTGAGGTTGTCTTTCAATCCACTGATGGTGGGGAAGGGGCAGAGATGGGGGGGCCAGCTGACACCAAAAATAAACCGGTGGAGCGGGGATGGTTGTCGCAAGGGGCAGAGCGAAGTTGTCAGGCGGCGAGAGCTTGTGAGGCGGCAGGACGATAATGTGGCATGACACTTCTGAAATGAGCGGCCCGTTGCCATGGTGAGCAGCCAGGAGGGACCGGCTCTCCCGAGGCTGAAATAAAACACGCTTTAAATGATGTTTGATTAGAATTTAGATCATGTAACCGAATACCTCAGTCCTCCACTTCCCTGTGCTTTTCTGCTTTTCTTCTTTTCTTCTCTTTTCCCTTTTTCTTCCCTCTGTCTCCACCTCTCTCTACCCCATGGCAGACACAGATGCACTCACACAGGCACACACCCACCTGCATACACATGCAAATGTGCACCCCCACACATGTACATGCATAGGTGCACACACACATGCACACATACACATGGCTGTGCACCTAGACACATGCACATGCATAGGCACACACATGCAAATGTGCACCCACACAAGCTTGTGCATGCACATGCACACACATGTAGAGGTGCCCCAAGCACACACATGCACATGCATAGGCACACACACATGCACACACATGCAAATGTGCACCCAGACACATGTGCATGCACACTCAGGCAGACACACATGCACAAACATGCAAATGTGCAACCACACACATGTACATGCACACTCATAGGCACACACATGCATAACACATGTAAATGTGCACCCAGATACACATATGCACATGCCGAGGCACACACACGTGCAGGTGCACACCTGCACGGACACATATACACATATACCTTTCTCCTCTCCTCACCCCACTTGTTCCATATCTCAGTTGGACCTTGAATTCAAAATTCCGGCTCAGAGCAGATGCTGAAGACCCCTTAGCGAGTCATGGCACTGACCCAGGGTCAAGGGCTTGAGTCTCTGTTCTTTGGCTCTAATAACGACAATATTGAAACAATGCAAATACTCCACATCCCTTGTTTGTGCAGCCCTTTATTCTTCAGAAAACCCTTCCAAATGGAAGTCCATATTTTGTTCTCACACACAAAAAGTGAGAACAAAATATGAGCTTGCATTTGGAAGAGCTTTATGCAGCTTTTTTTCTGATTGTACCCATTTTCTAGAGGAGGAACCTGAGGCTCAGAGAGGCCAAATATCTTGCCCAGAATCATGCAGCTGGTAGGGCGAGAACCCAGCACTTCTACAGTCTGCTCTTTGGGCTTATGGCAGAATCCCCTGTAGGAGGAAGGAGGCACAGCCAGCTCTCCGTCCCCTGGATGCTCAGACAGTTACTTGTCCAACATATTTTGAACACTCACTTTGCCATTGGCTTTGGCCTGAGTAAACCAACCAAGGGATGGGCAGAGAGGCTCCAGCTTGCATCTAGAGGGTTTTGGGACACAGATTGTGATGTTCTGGCTATCTTCCCCCATGTTTTAGTTTAGTAACAGATTTGTGTTATGTTTGTGGTGGTTTTCCAGGGCATGCTGCCCAGGTGGGGAAGACAGCCAGTCCCAGGGATGGAGGGTGCTGTTTTCTTCAATTCATTC